TAACAAAGCAACAGCAAACTAGACAATACTAATTTTAGCAAAGTAACAGCAAGCTAGACAATAAGGCCTAAATCTTATGCATGTAAGCCGTTTTACATTTGGGGTCTTTTTGACCCTTAGGGTATCAGTGTTACTTGAGTCAGTCTCACAGTGCTTCGTGTATAGAAGTCAGTGAGCCCAACCGGGTAAATAGGTTCAGCTGAACAAAGGATACGTCACCTTTAGGGCTGGTTTGGTTTTTGTTAAGGTTTTTAAAATTCACTAGAGTGATGTTCCAAGGTTCCCTTGTTTCAGCAACAAAGAAATAGCAATGGTCATCTTCTGCCAGCTGGATGCAGGTAGTTTCAAAAAGTCAGATGCCAAGGTTGTGAGTGTATGAAGGTGCTAATGAAGTGCAGGGCTCAAGTACAGTGACACTTTGGGAGACCAAATGCCCCTTCATTTCTGTCTTCCCAAAAGCCTCTGCATCCTTACATGAGCTTACTGCACCCTGGTACATTAGGATCATCAAATTAACTGTCCTTGCACCTTCTCCTTTTGTGTCCCTACCAACATGTGGCTTCACGATCAGCTCAGTTCCAGCTGAGTCCTTGTTCCCTGCTGATGGGGAGGCAGTGGGAATATATAGAGAGGGGCTGGGTGGGCAGGCAGACATACACTCGAGCCAGCTGAAGCTGATTGTGAAACCAGGACCTCAGACAGGCTCTGAAACTTCTTACACACCCTCTCTCATCCATAAAACCTCTGGTCAGCAGTGCACAGCCTGGACTGGCACAGCTAAATACAGAACCGTGGGAATCCTGTTTCCCAGTTAGAGACTAACCTCAACAGAGTCCCTGTATGGATATGCTGGAATTACTTGGCAGTCCAACTGTGGCTTCCTTAGAAGGGTAATGAGGGGAAACAACTTGAAGGCAGACAAACAACAACTTCATGTTCCTACTGGTAGCAGTGAAGCCCTGTGGGTTTGGCCCCGTGCCCTGTAACTGCCAGTGGAGTCCCCTGGCAAAACAGAAGACGAGCCAGTGTAAGTGGGCTGGTTTGATGGCGAGACTAAACAGAAGGTTATTACCAGGACCTTTCAGTTCAATTAATTTTGTTTTACATGCTGTTCTTCATGACATTCTATGGTTCTCTTATCTTTCTTTGGTATTTCCCATAATTGTGGTACTCTTTGCTGCAAAAACTTGAGCTAACTATTAGTAAAGTCCTTGTTAACTTCACTGGGGTGGAGACCTGTTGCTTGAAAATGTATTGGCTCATGTATGTAAGTACCTGTGGCATAGCAGGCTCTTATGCATCAGGAGAGCTGTTGGAACTCCCCGAATGGACGAAGGAACTTGTCAAAGACTTTCTGGCTTTCTGTGGATTGGCAAATCCTCGCCTATGTTGTCACTCACTTCTCAAAGAATGCTTTGCAAGGCATGAATTATGCAAATGAAGTTTGCTCCTTCCCCAGCAGATTGGATTTACTTGTGTCTATTAATTCTATTTTTAATCAGTTTGTCAGTTCTGAAAGACTCAGTCTTACTGTTCCTTTGTTGTCAAATATAATGGCTTTCATTTTTCACCTTTTCCTTTAATACTTAGGTTCATTTGAGTGATACATTTCTCACCACAGTTAAGAAAGCAATGAATTTGAGTTTGTGTAGAACTCCCGGGTGAAAGCTGTCTGGCTGTACGTATTATAACTTTAGATTTTGTCAGGTTTTGGAAGAAGGCTCTTTTACAAATGCTTCAGTTTGAGGCAGTTCCTTGGAGCTGACCTTTCAAAAGCAGCTCAAATATAGAAGTCACTCAAAACATACCCATAATGAATATAAATGTGAAAAAAAGAAAGCCATGGAAGTTTCTCCTGCTTTAAAAAGAAGGTTTGTATCATAAATAGTCCGGCAAATTAGTTGCTGACGACTGCAGATACCTTTAGTATATCAAATAGGGTATATTTCCAGATAAGGCTGTATTTAAGTTCTGCATGGGGCTTGCTCATAGGCCTCTAAAGGGCAGCATTTCCCATTGCTAAGAGGTGAAGCAGTGGTACCAAGGTAATATCATCCATGAGTTCTATTTTGGTGATAATAAACTTGTGAAAATAACTGGAAGTAACTGGACTCCACTCTTTTGTGTGCAGCTGTAACTAGAAGAGGATTTTACAAAATTCTTTAATGTAGTTGGAATGTATGTGTAATCTTTTGACCTTGTTCTTAGTTTTTGATGACTATGTCATGTTAAGTGCTGATAATTGGGTTTGCTCTAGGCTGAAACCTGACCTGCTGTCTGCAAAGGAGAAGATCAGATCTTCTATTGTAGGAGGTGCTTGAAGGGGCTACCTTAGAAATTGCAAGGCCATGACAGCTAAGAGTAAGGATTTCTGAAATACGGCAATTTCTTAGGAAGGACATGCTGTCCCAAGGAATGCTTCTCTTCCAGCTTGGTTTGAATTGGACTTTTCATTCAAAGGTTTTTGTCCCGTTTTCTAAATTTCTTTTTTATGCCATCCGGTTTGCCTCATAACTCAAGCTGCCCTACTGTGGAAGCTGCCTTGTAGCTTCAGCTAGTGGAAGATGGCTCCTAGGTACGAGAGCATGAGGCACATGCTTTTCACTGTTCTTGGAAGGGGATTCAGCTCTCCTTGTCTAAGCCATGTGCAAATGACACCTCTAATCCAAACTAGTTTTTAGCTTACTTCTCCAGCTGAGGAGAGAGGAAGAGATCTTCAGAGATTTATTGCATCCAACTATCAGTGTTTAAAATAGATGGGATTAATTGTCCTATGGAGATGTCTGTCTCTTTCCACTGAGTTGAGAAGAAGCCTAAAAATTAACCTTGTCTCACTGTCAAATTTGTAGAAGACTAAATTTAGAGGAAGTTAATCCCGTCCTTGGTTCAAGAAAGTACTGAGTGACATTTGTAAATTCTGCAAATAGCAGTCTGTCAAACCAAGTATCTTCCAGTCCCTGCTTGCTTCAATTTAAAGGTGATGTAGTCTTCATACCATGCTTCCTCTGAGGAGGATGAGGGGAGTGTCTAACACCTTTACGGAAGGACTACGCAGCAGTCAAAAACAGCAGCGAGCATGGACAAGGAAATGGAGCCAAAGAGATTTTTAAAAACCTGTCCAAAGGGATCAGTGCAATGGCCCAACCTGCACTTTGTTTTTCAAGCCATCCCTTTTCTTGCCTGTCTATGACAGTGTTGCTGGAACTGCTCTTCTTCCTTATTTTAAGCTTTCTGTGTGGGAGGAGTAAAGCTGCCTAAAACAAATGTGATTGAGTGTTAGTTTGCAGACTACAGCACTGTTATCCCTGCTCTTTCAGTTCCCATTGGGTTCCTTGATAGTTCTTAAGAATGCAAAATATGAGTACAGGTAGAGAATGTCAGACCAACAGTCCCTCCAGCTCAATATTCTGTTCCTGCCACCGACTAACAGATGCCTATGTACCTTTCTCTAATCCTTTCCCAGCCTCCATCTATTTTCAGCTTATGAGACTTTGTAGCCATAAATCTTTCTTGTTAAATGAAGAATTGCAGCTGACTTTCTTGTCTCTTATGTTTTAGAACTAAAAAAACAAAGAAGGCATCTGCTCCTCCAACCAAGGAAGAGAAGCCCAAATTAACGATTTTTGAAGACGAAGTAGATCCAGATGAAGAACTCTTTGGCCCAGGAAAAGATTTCTCATCAATTGGTCCCAGGAAGAAGACGAAAGAGAGTAAATCTGTTCTATATTTGTATATACACAGATTGTTTTATCTAAAGCATATGTATAACTGGGCTTTTAAAGTGTAGTGATATAGAGTATGCAGGCTAAATAATGACTTGGGAATGTTAAGGCAAATCTTCAGCTGGGGCAGAATCATCTAGAATCATTCAGAAAGAAAAAACAAGACCTGTAGTTCCCATAGCTGTTCACCATTGACATTTTTGAATATTATAGGTCTGTGGGAGCTGGCTGTCCCACAGTCATTCATGCCACACTAACAAGAGTAATGTGACCTACTTCTGAATGCAAGAAGAAAGCAGATTTACCAAGCCCTGAGAGTGCAGAGTATCACTGCACTCTGTGGACTAGAAGTCCTTGTAAAAAAAGAATTGTCTACATCTAGCCAGATTTACTAGGTAGTGTTAATGCAGGTATTGTGTTATGTAGCATGATTTAACTACAGCACTTTCTGGTTCCTCTTTCTAGATCTGAAATTATTTGAAGATCCAGACCTTGGTGGGGTGGTAAGACCGGGTGACTCACTACTGCTGCCAGCTGCCTGTAAGGACAGGGAGTACGTGCTGAACACGGGTCCTGAGGAGGACATTGAGACACTGCTAAGGTATGCATGTCAAATCTGTTGTGTAGGATGAAGGTGATCTGAGGAGTTATTTAGACCTCAAAAGAGATTAATTTGAGGGAAAAGCTTAAATACTTTGAATGCTAACTGTGAATCAGTATTTGTACTTACCAGTAAAAGATATGTGTCATGGAGCTTGGAAATCAAACATATTAAAAAGGAAATTAGGAACATCCTTTGAGAAAGGTAGGTTATTCTGTGACTCCAAAGGAAGGGTCTTGAAGGCCCAAGGCATGCCATCTAGTCCTTGTTTTCTAACATGACACTTCCACTTTCTGCAAGCGATCCACAGGTGGTGAAAACTGACCTCCATTATGAAAAGTGAGAAACAAAGCCCAGAAACAAAGAGAAATTCAGCTTCAGTGAGCTGAAATCGGGCTCTTGCCACAAGAGGAATGGTCTTTTGCTGGTGGCTCACAGATCTCCATGCACACTTCCAGGAGGAATCCTGTGCACATCTCCACAGCTCATTAAAATCTCTATCACCCTGCATTTAATTTTTAATCTAGTGGAAAGGAGGATCTGAGCTCAGAGTCCGGAGCTCAGAGTTACCTGCCCCTTGACCAGTATCACGAGGGAATTTGTGCTGCATTAAAGAGTCAAATTCATGCCTTCTGGATCTCAGGCTGGTGTCTGAATGATGAGGCCAATCTGCTTTCAGTGCTAATTCTTGCCAGCGAGCTCCCGTTAGCACGTATGTTTTCTGCAACAGGTACTAAACCCAGGAGAGGGAATCTGTGTGTGGTTTCCAACCTCTCCTGAAGCAGGTAGTTTTGCAGCTGTTGCTTTCTACACATGCAAAAGTGCTAGCTATCTCAGCGGTAACACCTGACTTTAAATTTAAACAGGTTAAATTGGGTTGGATGCCATCTCACATTACATCCTGACAGCCTACCTGACGTTTATCAAAGCTGATGGGGCAGGACATGACCTGATTTAGTGCTGTGGTATATTGGGAACAAACACGTGTGTGCTTGCAATATTTTTATGTTTGCTTTCTCCTCTGCTAGCAATCTCATGCAGATTGTTCATACGGCTAGAAGAGAAGTGCCTCTTTTAATGCAGTCCTTGCATTATTATCCACTGCTGGAGAGAGCTTCTGTATCTGTCATGTTAACGTCCTTTGGATTATGTTTTCTCTTCCTTTGTGGCAGAGAAAGGTCTCTGAAGTCTGCTCCAAGACCAATAGATTGTGCTTTTAGATCAGTTTGAGGTCATCAGTGTTAGCAGCACATCCAGATGGTTGTGGAAACACATGGGAAAAGATTCCATTTCTTTTAAATTGCAGTAGTTTTCATTTATTCTTGAATTGTCCCAGTGTTTTCCGTAGTTGACAAGTCATCAAGATCCAACTGGAAATGAATACACGTAATGAAGCAGAAAATCATGCCAGTGGTCCAAGGGGAAAGTTGCTATGGGAATCCAGAGGCAGCTGCTGGCTGTGCAGGAGGTACAGGTGGATGGGTCAGGATCTGTTGATCCTGTTTGAGTGCTTAACACCCTCTGAGATCCCCCTGATAAGCCTAGTTCACAGGGTTATCTGCACATCATAGAGAGCTGGTAGAGTGAATGCAAGGCGACTTCGGGTAAAGGAGAAGCTGTTAAAGGGTGGGGAGAGGATTGGCAGTGCTGTTTTAACCTAGTAGCATACTTCACCTCACCTCTATGTAAATTCATTGCAGTCACCTGAAATCCTGTAGCTGAACTTTCTCAAGTGGTTATACACAATGCACTTTGTTTTCTGTTCAGCTGGAAGCCTTAGCAGGACTGTGTCAGGTCTTATAAATGTATAGGCAGCATTTGAGTCATCTCCCACCTTCCCTTACCACCAGACTGGTGTTACATCTTTCAGGGCAGTGCCGCATTCTGTTTTCCAGGCAGTGACCCTTTGTGGTGAGAGGAAGCGTTCAACATGAGCTGAACCCTGCAGTCTGTCTGGCATGGGGGCTTGAGCATGTTTTGAGGCCTAAGAATAAATAAAAAAAGAGAATAAAAACCAAGAAGTGTCTGACTTACTGGAAAATGTACTTCCAGTGAATCATGCACAGAGATCAGAGAGTACTACCTAGGGCAGAGGAAGGCAGAACCTTCTTCTTCTAAAGGGGAGATGGGGAAAATATGATGTTCAGAGCAGAACACAGGAGCAACCAAGTCCTTCGTGATCTTTATGGTACCTGGGTGGTTGTAGCAGCAGTAGCACCACAGTGCTGTCAGCACAGCAGTGAATCCCCAGCAGTGACTTGTAACTCTTGAGGAAGAGACTGTTATGGAGACAAATGAGTCTGCAAAATGTGCGTGGGCTGTGCTTGTCACAACATGAGGGAGAAGAGAATATGATAAATGTTCTCATAGCAAACTGAAGACTCTATTCTCTGTGGATACCTGCTCAAAGGAAATGAGAATTATTTTAAATAGAATCACCTACTTTACATTAACAAGTGTTGAGCTTTGAGAAGAACCACTTGTTTTGTAAGTGTAATGAAAGATTTCGTTTCATGGCAAGATACCCATGTCCATTCAAACAAATATCTTCCCTCTTCATGTCCATTGACCAGCCTTTTACTGATTACTAATTTCTTGGCTTACCAACAAATACTAAGTGATGGTGATGGAGAAAGTAGGTGAGCTACCTCACTCTACCCACTGGCATTGTAGATGCAGGCATTCTTTCATACCACTGGGTCTGCCATAGTACATCAACGAGATGCCCTTTGAGCACCGTACTTGCATGTCCTTCCAGAACTTGTGGTAGGAACCAGCAAGGTCAAGTCCCATCATGTTGCCTTCAGGAAAAAAGGAGCATGTCATACTCTTCCTTCATGGGATGTGCTTTGAGAAAGAGAGGGATAGGTAACCAAGTCTTTTTGGCACTTCACCACAGGGATACGG